GTTTAATTGGATTAAAGATAAGCGATAAAGTCGATGTTACTCCTTCTGTTCTATTTTCTCTATGGATTGACCGACCGACCGACCGGCCGGCCGACCGATTGATTGACTATATAATATACTGTACCTTCTTTGATGGCTTTATCCATGGCTCTGGATATCACCACGCCCCTTCGTTTTCGCTTCTTCTTTCTTGTTCGCATTTCCTAAAGCAAGAAAATTTATAATAATTTATAATATTTGCCTAATAATTATACAATCTTTATGTTAGTATTGATAGTATTAAAATAGTATAATTATATTATTGTACTTTGAAATAATGAACATAATCAACAAATAATAAAATTTCTTCAGTAAAACCAAGACTTAATGATCAGACCTGCAAAAGATACTGTAGTGCCTGACTAGTAAAATTATCTTTATAGAATGCCGCCACAAGATGTTTTCTGAACAGCATTTGTCTAGAGCAAATATGGCTCCTGAGAAAGGCACTACGCCCCTGACTAACACTACAGTCTTACGTTCACACATTTTTCTCGAACCTGACAATGAGCTTGTACTTTGATAAGAACCCTTAACTTCAATATCAAAAACTTAGTCGGTCCTATTGATTAATATTACAAGACAATTTTTTGAATACAGGTCTCATTTTAATTAAAGACCACTCGAATTAAAGATCACCTCCAATTAAATACCACTTTGACGTGGTCCCAAATTAACAAATGCCATTTATGTTTATTTATTTAAAGCTACTAAAGACCATGGAAAACTCCAGCCACACTAGTGGTCTTTAATTGGAGGGAGACCTCTATTCAAAAAGTTCTACCTTACCATCATTTTTAGGATGAGAGCTTGAGAAGAGGACGGAAGGCTCTGCCCAGAGGATGGTCTTCGTTGCCTCCCAGAAGATGCCACCAGAGAAAAACCAATGATGAGTCCAATAAAAAGCACCACGACATAGACAGCTACGGAGAGCGAAATCCGCAACATCTCAGCTTGATAGAGTGCTGCACTGAGGCCTACTGTCGCTGTAAGCGTGTATCTGTTGACTAAATGTCTTCCTGCTAACATGATGCGTTCTTTCTTTAAATTTTACCTGCGAAAAAAGGCCAATTTAATTATCTAATAAACAAGTTACTATCAGAGAATCTTTGGTGCCACTACATACCATAAACCCTTGGACAGAAGCCCAATGGGCTTTATCTTGAGAAGAAGCCCATCTCGAATTGAAAATCTACCAAAAATACCTGTCCCATCCAGCTGCCTAGGCCTAGACTTGCGTACTAAATAAGGAACGCAGTGCTAGTTTTTACATACTGTAGGCCGCTTGCCCTAGTTAGAATACTAAAAATAGGACAAATAGTTTATTACTGTAAGGCTTACAAGAATATCAATACCAGACTAAACAGTTTACAATGGTTACTCCGTTTACATAGGGGATATGCATGGATGAATTACCAAACAATTATACGAGCGAGAGCGGCACAATAGGCCTAGGCTAGGCCTACTGCTTTTCGTGTACCGTACCACCACTACCAACAACCAAACCACGCTCTAAACCTGATGCTAGGTCTTGTTGTTGCTGCAGTGATCGGCAAAGTTACAAGGCAAGCCTGGCTGCGGTCTATCTAGGAGGAAGTTAAGACCAGATAATGGGCACCACTACTAAATTTGGGCACCACTAATACAGGTGTT